AAGACTGGTTTTGAAATGGGAACCTTTAATTACCTAGCAGCTGTTACCTATTAATTGAAAGCATCATGGTCCAATGAACATAGCTCTGTGAAGTTCAAAACTGCCTGGGGTTCCTGGACTCAGCATGTAAACAAGCTAGGTACATCTAGCCTCCCAGGTCTCTAACGCAGACATTGCCTGTAGCGGAAAAGCTCCCCTTTTCTCTAAAAATCTAGAAGTGGTCCTTTTGTTCTGTGTCTGCCCCATTAAGCATCTTATCTGAGCTCTGCCTTCCCATATCCTCTACCTCCTCTGCCAAGTTAAAGGATGGGAGCAACTTCCAGCCTAGCTTCGAGGATTTCTGTTGCCATATCACTGATAAGTTAACAAGATAAGGGTGGCTCTGATACCTGGCATTTGCCTCACTCTGCTCAGGCTTGGCACTGCTCTAGAATACAGAAGATGCAGACAACAGTATACTGTTGTCTTTTCACTGGCAATGGTCCTTTCCCCTATTTCTTTCTTAAATATAGGACACTGCTTTATATGTGTTTTACAACCTAAGTATCTAATACACAAGACATTTACATTTGTTGAATCCAATTCTTCTGGAGAGGGTCGAGTCATTCCATGTCAAGTATACTACTCCTAGTTTTGTGTTCTAGAAATATTCATCCTTGTAGAGGACTTAACAGACATCACACCCTATTATGTGCATAATAAATGCACACAGGGAACCTGGGGTAGGTACCTACTTGGTCGATGTGGCCATTGTTCTGAAGGTGGCAGAGTCTTGGTTTCAATCTCTGTGGGGGTCAGCTTAAATCCACTTATTGACTGTCACATTTTCTAACTGCCAATCTGTGCGTCCGGTTATGGGGAGTTAGCGGGAGAGAATGAGGCTGCCTTCAGGAGAAATCTACAGCCACCATTAGGGAAACAGTGCCAGAGCCGAGGGGTCATCTTCATAAAGACAGCATTAATTACAGGGTGGCAGTGAAAAATTGTAATTGCCTCCATTTTCATTTACACACTAGATCCTAAAATATAAATAATTTATTAATAATTAATGTATTTATTTATGTGGTAACCAACCACTTAAGAATTTTAACTTCTGTGCCAAGCTAATGAATGCCAGGAACGGCCTGGGCTAAGTATTCACAAGCTCTCAGTTAACAGGCAGTCTCATTTTATGCTTCATGTATAAAACACATACGGAATATATGAAACGTATTCTGTGAGTAAGGCTACACATTTAAGGGTGGGGGGTGGCATGGGAGAGAAAACTTGGCCCTAATGATTTATTTATGAAATTCTAAGTAAGGAAATGTTCAGCCTAACAATAGATCATTCAATATATATTAAGCATTCACTGCATTCTAGGTGTATTCTTAGATGGCTCTGGAGAACATATGATAATGGATACCTCCTGTAAAATATTCCAGGGAGGTACAACCACCAACACTTTCACAAATGTGCATGTAAATCAACATGAAATCAAGATTTCTGGGCCATAAGACCAGGGGAGTGATGGTGACATTAAGTGAACTAGAGAATAGAAGAGGAAAATTGGGTTTGGGAGGACATGAAAACAGATATTCAGTTTTGAACATGATAAATTAGAAATGTAAGACCACTACAAAGGTGGGGTCTAGAGCTTAAGAGAAAGACCTGGGTACAATTGGGAACCACTTGAGTGTGTGGCGGTGGATGCAATGGGAAAAGGTGAGGTAGTGCAGAGAGGATGGGTAGAAAGAGAAGAGAGTTAGGGTATGAGCCCTAGGCCACTGACTTTAGACCTTAGCCCTCCAAGGAAACTGGGCCCAGGGGTCTGAGAGACAGGAGAAGGAAACAGTCTCATAATGTTGTAATTTGAAATTTTCTTTTTTTTTTCTAAGATATCACTTCAAATTTCAGGTTAAAATGGAGATATAAATGAAGTTTGATATCACAGGTCTCTAACCACACTTACAAGCTCTTTGCATGGCCAAAACAATAAATATTTGGCATAGAAATTAACAAATAAATTATCTTAAATTGCATTAAAAAAGGGGGGGCACGGGGAGGGGGTGCTGATTAGGGAAAGCGGAGGGAAAACACCAGCACATAAAGGAAATCAGTCCTGTCCTGTGGCCACTCCCGTGACAGGAGGAAGACAGCTCAACTAGAAAAGAGGAAGAAAGAAAGCCCAATGGCAGGAGAGGCAAATAACTTGAAGCGTTGATGGTTTTAGCTCATTTACCACCAGAAATCAGCTTGAGAAGTGACATGTTAAGTGCTGTTAGCACAAAAGAAAAAAAACTTAATTTAAAAATTTAAGGAGGTGGGAGAAAATTTTTGGATGATGGGTAAGTTATAGCCTTGATTCTGGTGATCATTTCACAGGTATGTGGTTACCTCCAAAGTCAAATTGTATACATTTGTATGTCAGTCAAATCTCAATAAAGTAATTTAAAAAAGAAATCAATCTGAGAGACAATATGGTGGTGTGGACAAAAACATGGTTTCCAAACTCAGGTGGACCAGAGAGTACCTATAATTAATTCTTCTAAGGCTCAATATCCTCATCCTTATAAATGGGGAGAAAATCTTATCTACTGCATATGGCTATCAAGAGAATTAAGTGACTAAAGTCACATGAGGTACAGATAGTGCTGAGTATGCCTGAAAAGTGCTAGTTAAGAAAGGCACAATGAAGTCACTCCATTGCTATTTATGATAATTTAATAAAGTCATATCATGGGTTAATTAGTAAAAACTGACTAATGTTTGGGAGTAGCAATTCTAACAGAGGAAACTGCATTCCCATTTAAACTTTTACTTTTAAATCAATGTAGGGGTTTACTCTGCCTACATTCTAATTTAGATTTGCTCCGACAACTCCTGCCTGGCGATCTTGGACAAATCTCTTCGTTCTTTCACTCAGCACGGCTGGAAGGTACCGGGATGGGCAGTAGGATGCAGTGCACCTGACCGGCAGTGTCCCTGCCCCCCCCCCATGTGCTTATTGCTTCACAGAAGAGATGACCACAAAATGAAGAGCTACAAGTGAGAAGAGAATAATAAAATGAGAGGGAAGAGTGCTCTGGAACAGTGTTCCAGAGAACGGGATGCACTGGTGCATGCCAGCTCCTTCATGGGTAAAATCAGAGGACTGGACTAGATGATCTCTTAGGTACTTTCCCTGCTCAGAGATTCTCTGCCACTGTCATTGCATTAAAAAAAAAAAAAGGCTAAGAATTTCTGAGTATTCTAGTTTGACAAGCCCACACAAAACCATGAAAAGAGCTACTTTAGTGTTCTTCTTATAGCTATTATTGTATATATAATGTGCTGTCACTTTTCTTAGACACAGAATCACAATCCCTATTTAAAAGCTTTGGGACCATGTATGTTATTAAATTTATTTTTCCAGATTGAATAGGTTATGGAATATAAATAGCTCAGAAAGAGTTTTGCCACTAACTGAATTACAAAAAAAAACAAAACAAAAAACTTCACTTTTCAGAGATTTTGACTATGAAATGTGGTTAATGGATATTGTGGGTCTATACTCTTTACATGCCTATTTTAGATTAATTCAGCAACTAGTTTCAGAGGTAATCAAGATAAATACATTTATATTTGCTTCCCTGAAGCCTCCCATATTTATAGCTACAGCTGGAAAGTTTATCTCACATTAGAACTTTCAAAGGTAGAATCTAAAAACAAAAACAGAAAAGTTCATACACAAGAATACATGAAAGATGAAAAGTGTAATAGTTTTGTAAAAACAACTGAAATTTGGATTGAGTACTCTTAATAAAATCTGATACTACAAGTCAACCAATTTAAGGAGATAAACCAACTCACTCTTATATCCTGAGAGTTTTGAAGGATTTGACTTTGTCACTATATCTATTCATGAATGAGATAATAATGAATTTTGCAACACATTCTCATGTTCAAAGGAAACAATTTCATTTTTAAAAGTTTCATTAACAATGCCAATGAACAACTGCAAGGAAATCACTTGCTTTTTAGATAGGTAATTCTTAAAAACAACATATACAGCAATTTTACAAGAATTTTGCTGTTTTTTTTTTTTTTTATCTTCACTAGGAGACTTGGGACTTTTAACTGTGTTCATTGAAAAGAGGTTTTTTTCCTTGAATATTTCAGACAGTTAAAAGAAAACCCCTAATATTTAAAAGAAATTGTATCCCCTATCTTCCCACCAAACAACCGTACAGAGCATTAATTATGAACACAAAATGGACTCCAATAATTCTGATAGCTATGTCAGTCACAAAGTGACAGTCATGCAAGAGCATCACTTGGAAGGTGTGCCCAGTGAATGCCCTAACCAGGTTAACTCCAGACACAGGGTGGAGTGTGACCACCTGGACAGCTTTATTGCAGATGGGGGCACCACACCTCATCTTGAGCATAAAATCAGAGCTCTCTGACAGCTCATCGCTCAGGCCTCAGCTGACAAGCTGACAGCTGCACCTGCACTCACCCCAGACAGAGCGCTTGAAGCCTTGCCTCTGACTGTCTCACAAGCCCGGCCTGATGCCCAGCGCTACGCACCCCAGCACCATAGGGACTCTTGCTAAACACCAAACTCTCTCTTTCGTCCTTCTTTCATAAGACTATGTTCACCTTGCCTATCCCTACGGCTTGCATACCCGTGTGACCCTCTTGTGTGAAACAGCTCTACCTTGACTATTGGAGACTATTCTCTGGCCGGAGCCTTGGTTAATGCCCATGGTGAACCGAGTCAGTAGGACTAGATCCATGGCTTTATTCTAATAAAGGCTGACAATGTGGAAAGACACAAATGTGTGTGAGACTGCTACTTTTATAGTCACATCTCATTCATGACAAACAACAAACAAACAAAAGACATGAGAAACCACATGAGAAAACTTTGTTCTTTATGTCATATACCTTCTTTGTCATCATGGTGGATAATGGCATCCTGTATCATGTCAGCAAGGTGAAAATGAACTTTCTGATTCTTCCCATGCTTCAGTTTTTTCAGGAATCCTTCCTGTTTCTGAAAAGTCTTCTCTCTTTCATAATAGGCTTTAATTTGTTCACAGCGCATGCGTTTCACCAGCCGCTGCCTTTGGCCAAGGGGAAGGGTCTCCAGTAAGCACTGGTCAATTTCCATTTCATGGGATCGAAAAACATTACATAGCTGAAAGCAACCTGAAAGAAACACAATGGGAGAGTCACTAGATCCATCATTACAATGAATATACATAGCAGCACTACAGAACATACTTGATTTTCATTACACAAATCAGAAACTCATTGATTCCTCTTTGTGCTTGACATTCAAATCCAAAGCCCTATTTACAGATTGGGTGAAAAGCAAAGAGAGTTGGTATTTTACTCAAGAAAGCATATAATAAAACAAATCATAGAATTAAATAGAGATGTGTGATTTTGCTTAACATCTAGCAATCCATGGTTTTTTATTCTTTAAATCTACACCAAAGTCCTAAAAGTATCACTACTGCCTTAACATCCTTCATCTAACTGAATAATACTGACTAAGCTTTACGTGTTAAATTTTGGCAGAAAGCCATTCCAAGTCTTTCAGCACACCCTAATAAAATTGGGTTTGCATATCCTGATGACTCTGCTAATCTAATGTAAAAGAATATATGTAAGCTATCAATCGTTTATATAAAACAAAGGTATGCTACTAATTGTTTTATATGACCCAGTGATCATTTTCCACATATTTATTACTAAACACCTTTCTTAGTGATTGGTAACATTCATTTCTAAGAGACCTAACAACAGTTAAGTATAAAGACTGAGTGATGGAATGGAGACTTTTCTCTTGGCAGTTCAACACCACAGATAGAATTGTTGCTGCTGTGGTCTTCATCTTATTGATATAGCAATTAAAAAACTGAGTTCTCTGTCCTACAACTGAAAATACTTTCTTTCAAGATGCTCTGTCCTATCAACACCACCCAAAACACCTGTAATGGAATTTACTAACTCCTATATTTACCACTTGGGTTAAAATTTTACTACTGGCAGAAAATTCATGTTAGAGCTCTGAAAATTCCAGAATCTGGCTAAGAGATGTTCAGATAAGTGTTTACATGTTCTTCTCTCAAGGTGTTGATGATGTAAGTCTCAAGCAAGTAAAAGTAACTATGCATGCACGGAGACGTGGCTCATCATATGCCATTTCTGGAAAGACCACGCAGTAAGGGTACTGCCACTTCATCTTGGGAAAGTGTGCCATTCCTTTGAAAGGACATCAAGTTGTGACAACACTAGTTCCATTTCTGTTTTACTTTATGCTTTGCAAAGTGTCATGCTCACAACCACCAGGCAGGACCATCTCTATTTTGCAAGTAAAGAAAAGTGAGTTGAGAGGGGCTGTGACTTGTCCAAGACCAAAGAGATGAATTCATAAGAGTCACAAATGTTCCATGAAGGCTCAAGAGAAAAACAAAGAGACAGGTTTTCATGACAGCCACATATTTAGTATATATAATGGGGTGGAGAGAAGCAGTGTTGGGCAATTTCATTTTAGTTGTTAATAAGCATTTGACAATATTTTAGAATCATATGTTTTCATAAAACTCTTCATAAGTATTTGTAAGAGTGAAGTTAGAAGTATCAAATAACCACACATAAAATGTTCCCTTTCCAATAACCTAAACACAAAGAGACAACAGTGGTTCTGAAGCAATGATGAATTTCCCCAAAGTATGTTTGTTGGGTAAAAACCACCATCACTCTCACAGAGTGTGAGAAATCATTAACACTGGACAGGAAATACCTTCAGCTTTCAAATCTGTTTAGCAAACTACACCGTTTGTTGCACTGACTGATTCTCAGGGCACTGAGACTTCCATTACTTTCCTGGTTTGTCAATAGGTGTCCCAAGAATCTTCAAAACCACTGAAAAACCTAAAGTAAAACCAATGACATCATAGAGCATCATGTGCTGATGAGCATGCAGTTGAACGTGGAGGATAATCTAAGAAACAGTGCTCATCTAAGAGTCAGTTTCTAACTCTTAATAAAGGTCTTAACTAATGGTTAAGGCGTGTATAGTGAGAGCTCACAAGTGATTGACCAACCCTCTCAGACTGTCCAAAAGGAGCGCTGAGAGTTGTTCGTAAATTAATTCACTTATGATTTGGAAAATCAGAAGCCAAGGATGTTCATTTTCAAATCCATGCATGTGTAAAAGAGTGATTTTAATATATTTTCTTGTTAAATAATTCCCCAGGCCTTGACTTTATATGGCCTAAACGCTGCTTTTATTTCATAAATTTAAAAATACATTGGGCACCACAACTTTTTTTTTTTTTTTTTTGTCTAATGATGGGCGGATCAACTATGTTTGTATATGTGCTGCTATCAATCTATAAGACAGTCACTAAAAACAGTTACGGGAAACATAGTGTTGAGGCAGTCTGCTCAAAACTTATTGAACTTCATCACTGGGACACTAAAAAGAACAGTAATTAATACCTCAGGTGATTATCTGGACGCCCAGGCAGGCAGGGGGTTAAGGCTGGAAGAAGAAGTACATGAGTCTGACCTGCGCAAGGCTGGCTTGTACCTCTGGGATGGAGGTGCCGGCAAGCACTTGTTTTCAGTTGTTGTATCCAATTTTCAAAGACGGGACGATTTTTCAAGAATTTATGAATGATTTATAAAATTGACTAGGTCTTAGGCCACAATGCAAAGCAAGTTTCGACAAATGCTAAGGAACTGAAATTACACAGGCTTTTTCTTAACACAATTGGTATCAGCTACAAAAGTGGAAGCACACCTCTGAATATGTTTAGAAACTTAAAAGGTTGATTCTAAATAAAACATAGTTTAAGAAAGAAAANGGCAAACACACAATGTAATATATAGATGATGTATTACTGAATTGTACACTTGAAACCTATGTAATTGTACTAACCATTGTCACCCCAATTAAAAAAAAAAAAACAACGGTCTCAGAGAAGCTTGAATTCCTGGGTAACTCAAGAGATAAGCTCTCTTTTGGTTCATACTCAATAAAATAAATTTATACCCTTTACCCCAAATATACATTTTGGGGCCCTCAAACTTTAAATAATCTACAGCTCTAAATCCACATCTACACATGCCATCTTTAGTCAACATCTTCAATTCGGTTGGAAGACACTCAGCTTGCTCTATTCCTGCCAACGTTTCTAACAGACAAATTCCCTGGTGTTCAGATTGTCTAAGAATGGGATACCTGCCAGTTTCAACTCGCTGGTTCCCTGCTAAGGAAACCGTAGCCCTGACTGGCTTTGTGACCCGACCAGTCAGCAGCCATACAGCTTCCTGGTCGCCTTTTGTCTGAGTCCTGAAGCAACACTGTAAGATGGACACAGCACTTTTCAAGTACAAAACCCATGAGCGCGCACTTTAACAGTTCCTCTTTAATTTTTTTAAAAATTATTTTCAAATTTGAAAGCTTGTATGTGTCCATGCAATTCTATAATCATGGTTGTAAATAATTATTTTAATTTCATCATTTCCCTGAGTCTTGAATTTTTTTTAAAATTTATTTAAAATGTTACATGGGTGACTGGTTAGCTCAATTGGTCAGCACATGGTGCTAATAACACCAAAGTTGTTGATTTGATCCCCGCATGGGCCATTGTGAGCTGCGCCCTCCCTAAAAGAGTCAACTATGCCATTGT